CCCCCCCTTCCCCCTCCCCCGCCGAACACACACAACCACACAGTTAACCCCCGGAGTACACTCCTTCATTCTCCACCGAGTCCCAATAACTACAGCAGTATCTGTATTTTATTCCGAAATTCTCCACCGCCACGTACGTACTAAACTTGTGATAGTAAAGCGCGACGTTCTCTCGGTGAAATCAAACACTGTCAAGTCCGCCACGCACTGCGGTTTAGCTTAAACAAACTTTGTTTAGCGACCCGGAGGCAATCGTGGAGTCCCCTGGCTTTTACCAACCGAAACGAAGCCCTTCAGCATTCCCCCACCCCATTCACTCCTCCAATAACATTGTCGGAGAATCATTCTACTCCAACTAATGGTAGACTCCTAATTGCCCGTGAAAATTTCAATCCAGTGACAGTACTGGGGAAATAGTCGTTTATCTGGGCATTACAGTGTTGGGAAAATTACGTATGTGTATACTAGAATGCGGTGAAGTAGTGGCCCTGGTGCGCTTAAAACCGCATTCAACGAGCGAAGAACCATCAAATTGTCTAATTACCGTAGTTTGTTCAATATATAGGGAGAGTTGTTGCCTCGTTGTCATGGTTACAGTAAACACGTACTTATTGAACACTGGTTACACTGTGACTTGGAAGCATTCGCTCATACCTCTCTCGACTACTGGCCGGGAATAGTTGTTGTGGTTTTGCTGAACCTCTCTGTCATACGCTTGACCCGAAACTGTTCAAACGGTTTGCCTTGGATTTACGAATTCCCGGCGTTGGGTTATTTTACTTAGGATTCATGTAGCGATGAGTGTTGCCAATATGTCGCAGGGTTGACGTCAAGTTCATATTTCAGGTGGGAAAATCAAGGGGCGGGAGGGGGTCTCATTGTTTGGTTCAAAAGGTATTTGTTCGACGTTTTTTCGATCAATTATTTGAATTTTTAACACAATATGGATGGGAATTGATTTATTGAGTTAGTAGGTTGTTTGTAATTTAAAGTTATAGACTGTTTGGAATTTTTTGACATTTCGTGGAAGATATTGTGGTAAACCTCATGAGAATACGGAATGATTGCATTTTTAGGGGAATATGAATATTTTTAAACAAAATGAAATGAATTTTCAATCTTTCCCTGAATTTTCCCGATTTTTCTGAATTTTCACAGAATAATTGAACGGAAAAATCAAGTATTTTATTGATTTCTAGAAAAAATCACTGATAATCGGGGTAATTCTAGTCGGTGTCCAGCATCGCCAATTGCTAATAGATCCCAGCAAATCAAAACTTTTATTTCTTCGTAGACACTGTTAAAAATTTTCACTTGGATTCTCCGTGCCATATTCCGGAAATTTTTATCGTGGTTAAGTTGCACTGAAATTTCAGGAAACCTTGTCATTGAGAAATCAAATATTCCATTGATTTTCGGTTCAAACGATCTGGAAATCAATAAAATACTTGATTTTTTAGTTCAATTATTCTAAAAATTCAAGGAAAAATTGAAAATTCATGTCATTTTGTTTCTAAATACTCATGTTTCACTGAGAATTCAATCAAGTTGTGAAATTTTTATCTCATTCCCATGAATTCTCTCAAACTCATGAATTTCCGTGAATTCTACTTAAAACTTGAAATTTCATAACCGTTTTTTCCCTAAATCCGATTCAATGATCACTCTTCTCATGAGATTTACTATAATATCTTCCAAGAGATTTCAAAAAATTTCTAGCAATGTATAGTATAGATTCCACGACTGAAGAATCATCAAATTGTCCAATAACCGTAGTATCTTCAATACATTCGGGTCTCATTCCTCGGTTGTCATGGCTATAGTAAACACGCACTTATTGAACGCAGGTTATAGACCACCTGAAAGCCTTCACTCATCTCTCTATTCAGGATTAATTCTCGTGGTTGTGTTAAACCTCGGTCATAGGCTCGCACTGAAACAATAGAAACCATTTTCCTTGGGACTTACTCAGCGCCGATGTTAGTTCGCCTAATTAAAGAGTCAAATAACGATGAGTATTTTACCAATATGCTCACCGATTGCACGTCAAGCAAATATTCCAGTTCGTAAATCCCAGGATGTTGTTGGCACTGCTAATGCAGCCATTGGATACAGACTGCAGGAGAGAGCAATTGGTCACAAAATACAACAGCAAACGAGGACTGTCAAAGGTCGTGCCGTTCAACAGCATCAATATGGTGATGTTAATCGTCCTGTTGTTCAACATGCACCCGAGACTGGGAGAAATGTTCGACCGAGAGCCACTGGCACTTCAATTATCCCCACGAACGATGAAAGAGGCAACGACGAGGCTATGCGCATTGAGGAGAGAGAATTGCAGAACTTTATCAAGATGCGGGAGTTTGAGGAGAGAACTGATAAGATGATTACACTCAACAGAATTCGGGAGTTTGTTGAACAAGGTATTTTATTTTTATGTCGAGCGCACGGAGAGAATATAGAATTTAAAATTACAGTGGGAACATTGTAATCGAACAGTGATAGAATGATTCATTTATTGCGAACGAGATTAACTATTAACGAGTGGTAGAGTTGAATATGACCAAATAAATATTCGTTAATAGTTAATGAATGGTTCACTTGACAGGTGAAAGTCGAGTCAAACAAGGCTTCTTAAATATTCATTCGTTAACTATTAACGAATGAACATTTGGTGGGACCAAATAGACTCTCGTCTCCAACCAAATCCCTTCGTCAACAATAACTAATTCTGTCTATCAGTGAAGACCATACCGAGACAACTTTGAAATTTGATTTATCTTGATCTTGAATTTTCACTCTTGTCAAATTAAATTTTACTTTTATTCTAACACTTTCTATTTACAGACTCGCAATTTTTTCTACGTTCAACAGATATGGTTCTCCATTACTGTTTCCACTGTAAAAAATGATTTTGGTGTGTTGTAGTAAATCACTTGGTTTTTATTGAGGATATCCAACAGATCGGCAATAATCATTACTTTTTGTGATATTGTGAAAATTATTGATGAATGAGTGTTGATTGTCAATTGTGATTGAGAGATGTGCACGCAGAAAAATCTACACGTAAATTACGTTTTGCTATACGTAATTTATGCTTAACGCCGATATGTCTGGTGTTGTTTTTCCATACGGTCAAAATGAGAACGTAAATTACGCCTAAACAAAGCATTTTTTACGTTCTACTGAGCGTATGTCACGCGTAAGAAATCGTAAATTGCGATCACAACAGAAGCTAATTTAATAATTTAATGATGCGTAATTTAAAAGAAAATATCTTTTTTCTTCTTCATCATTGATTGCAGATATGTAAACATAAAATACGGTAAAAATTATCGTAATTTACAGCCATGTTGATCATAATTGAAGGTTCATCTTCAAGCATAAAATACGCTTTGGAAAGCGTAAAAAACTATTCCTTAAACGTAATTTGATAAAATTTTAAGGTTTAGGTTTTTCTGTGTTATCAACAAAATAATCAGGAATTTCAATTATTGTATTGGAAACTGCATGAATAATGATAAATTGATTTAAAGTGATTATTAATTGCGGAAATAATAGTGCATTTCTTCGCGGAAAGTAGTGAAAATTATTCCTGCGATTGATAACTGATTTTAAACATGAGAAATAAATGATAATCTAATATCATAAACTTGGGTATCCCCGAGATCCAAGCACCTTAAAATAGCTCTACCCTTCGACCGGGCTACGCTGTACGTTTAGATATTTTCAGTTTTTAAATTTTTCAACTAAATTGCATGGAAAAAAATTTGAAAAAATTCATACCCAGTCAGTATTACGTAAATTAAATTTCGCAAAATATTGACATTTTTTCAAACATTTCCCTCTTATAAATAAATAATAAAACTTGTTTGCAAAACGGTGGATTATTTTTTATGAGGTGTCAAAAAAATTCTTGATTTTTTCACATCTAATGAAAAAATATTCAGATTTTAATCTTTGATTACAATGGAAATGTTGATTTTCACATAAGACACAGGGTTAAATCCTGATTTTTAAACATTTCTTCTTTGAAAAACCAAAACGATAATTAAATTGAGAAAAAAATTAGGATTCCGAATATAATCGAGTTTTCTGCAATTTGTTTGCAGTTTTCAATAATCTTTGAATTTACCGTAAGGGTAGAGCTACTTCAAACACTACGGATACACACACCTACCACTTGAATATTCTTACACTCGTACTTGCATTGAATTACTCCCCGAGGCGCTTATCCCGATTGTGATCGCCTCACAACAAGACGATCACGTTACCCCGAACTTCAAACTTCTCCACAATTGAAACTGTCCAAAATCGAGGTAAACTAGAAATTACGTGAAATATGAGGTAATAAACGTTGCACAATGTGAAGCAGTTAAACGCAACTGTTGTTGGGTGATAAATCATGTAATCTCTCCATGGTAGTGTCACAAGTACAGATTAGATTACATTCACGTGAGTGACCCTTCATTGTTTTCATGCTACCAAAGGTATGACGGCACACGAGGAAGACATCAATATACGACGTGAGAAGCTACGGCACATGCTGGAGATGGAAGACAGTGAATTGATGCGAGAAGTCGTGAATCAGGTACACAGCAGTGAGGATGCCAAGCGAGAAGAAATAAGAATTCGTGCTGAGATGAAAAAACGAGAGGAGGAGGAGAATCGAAGGAAGCTGATAACGAGCAAACGGAGACAGCAGCATTTGGAAAATTGTCCGGAAACAAGAGAAAGAATTTCAAGGGATATTGCACGAGGTGTGAAGTATTCCAACTTGATTCAAATGTTGGAGAAGGAGACGCGGCGGAAGGAGGATAGACAGCTTGACGAACTGTGGTACAAGTTAATGCTCAAGGAGAATGAGAATCAGAGGATGAGGGAGAAGGATGAGATGAGAAAACGAATGATGGTGGGTAAAACGACTGGATTAATTCTGGAGCAGCAGATAGCTGGAAGATCATCATCGGCCGGTCAAGTGCAGAGATTACGTGAACAAGAGAAACTGGAATTGGAGCATTTGTGGGACGAGGTGAGGGCTGAAGAAGTACGTAACTTGGCACATGAGAGGGAGAAACGTGAGAGGCTTAAGGGGGAGTTGGAGGAGCAGCTGATGGTGGCGAGGAGGAGTATTGCGGAGCAGAATAGTCAGCAGGCCGAGGTCGAGAGGATGCTCAAGGTCGCCAATGAGGAGGAATTGAGGAAAGAGAGAGAGGAAATCGCAAAGAATACCGAGCATTTGAGGCAGGAGATGATGGCGTACATGAGGAGTCTTGAGGATTTACGAGTGGAGGAGGCGAAACGGGCGGCTGAGGTTAATGCAATTATTGAGGAATCAGCTAGGGATGCTGGGACGAGACGTGATCTTGCATCGAAGCGTTACAGAGAGGGACGCAAACGTATTTTGGAAAATTTTCTGGCGGAGAGGGATGAGCAGATGCGATTGAAGAGGGAGAGTGCGAGGGAGGAGCAGAGGCGGCTGGAGGAGGAGAATTATTGTTTGAGGAAGGACGCTGAGGTCGGGGCGGCTGATGGCCGTGCTGAGGCCGTAAGGAGGCGGCAAATGGCGCTGCACTATGGACAGCAACTGCAAGCTCAGCGCCAGTACGACGAGGAGAAGAAACGCCGAGAGGTGGATAGGGACAGAGCGGTGTATCGTGATGCACTGAAAGAGAATGAAGAATACGTGAAACTCACTGAAGAAATGGTTAATGCACCAGAAATCATTGCACCGAGGGCATTCAAAATTATGCTGAAAGAATACTCGGCTCGACGTGACGCACAACAAAAAAGCCTTTGTGGCCATCGTCCTGTTTCTCTACCCTCAGCACCAATGTCGCTCTCCTCTGTCACTGGGCTGCAGTACTAATTTACACCACTCGGTTGTATTTGCTTGTTTGTTTCACTTGGGAGTCATAAATCAACATGCACGTGGAACTGGTTGGTTTTTCTTTTTTCTCCTCATTTTCCATTGTTAGCGCTTTCAAAAGCGCACACGACACTCGTTTTTTTTTCTTCAGAGCTCCATAATACCCTTGAGGCGTAATAAATAGACATTTGAGTGATTCTGCTTGAAGCCTTGGATGCTCACTGGAGCTGAAAAAAAAGGAAATAGGAAAAAAAAGAGATGAGTACCCACTACGTCTGGCTTGATTTTTTATTTATATTTTTTTCAGTTTTATGGCTTTCTTTCCGCTGTTTTTTCCTCTACTCGACGTGAATATGAATTTTTCACGATGAAAATATTCGCCGGCAGCACATCAGACACGTGAAACAGGGGAGACCGAGAAATCTGGAATATCGAGAGACTTTTCACAGCATAAATTTTACATTTGTACATTATACATTTTATCCTGTTTTACTCTCGTTCATATGCCCCATGTACTTTTATCATCCGTGCAGGATGTACAATATACGTGTCAGAGAGCGCTGCTGTAATATCCATCTCAGCCTCTTTCCACTTGTCATTCCTGGACCAACAAATGCCATGTGGTGTTGCACTTTTAGATTACTTTGGTGCAACCCTGACACCGCCCGGTCCATTCAGAGAATTGTTTCACATATTTCGGTGTCCTGGTTCCTACGGTATTCCAGGCGTACGCTCAATAGTTCTGAATATTTTCCATTCGTTAAAGATATATTTTTTCCTTTTTATTTGATGGTTAAGAGAAACGGGTGGGATTCAACAACTTTTTTTTTGTCATGTCTGAGAGACGCAGACTAACCTTTCTTTGTTGAAAATGTTCAATGTATTTTCTGAATTTTTTAATTCTCAGTAGTTCAAGTATTTTCATATTAGAAGTGTTACAATGAGAGAAAAAATTTGCTCTGCTGACAAACTATGTTTTTCACGTGAGAATATTTGATGGCGTGGAACAGATTTTTTTGAGTGAAGTTAACCAACTTGTTTGAAGAAGGAAATTTAATATATTTCACAAAAATAAATTTTTTTTCGTGATCAGGAAGAAATATAATCTATTGGGCGACAATCATTTTATTTGAGAGAACTTCATAGGTTTATCCCATAGACAGAATACATTGAAGAAATAATTTTTTTTCCCAAAAAAAATTATCCCTTCGAAATTATTTAGTTGTGCCAATACCACAGTTTTCGTCTGAATTTTCCGTGTCAAATCCCGTAAATTTTTATCATGTTTAATTTCCACTGAAATTTCATCAAATCTTGCGATTGAAAATGATCTAAAAATCGATAAAATATTTGATTTTTCAGTTCAATTATTTCGCGAAAAATCGAAAAATCAGGAAAATTCATGTCATTTTATTTCTCAATATGCACGTTCCATTGAAAATTCACCCAAGTTGTGAAGTTCCGTCTCACTACCACTGAAAACTCATGAATTTCCTTGAATTCCCCCTAAAGCATGAAATTCCGTAACCATTTTCTCCTAAAACACCCTCAATATCACTCTCACGAGAATTACTCCCCCATTTCCCCTGAAATCTCAAAAAATTTTCAACAGTGTGGTATGAATTGCCGAATGTGCTGTCGCACCAACTCTCCAATCACCAAAAATATCAAATAGCCCCTATTAACCTCCCCCCTCCATCAAAAATTAATCCACCCATGAATTCCCCCCGAAAAACCATAAATAATTCATACCTACCCCTCTCCCGCAGATTCCAACAGATAATACATAATAATAACGTCAATCCACCCTGAATAGCCTCTCATATCTCAGAGAGCCAAGGGACCCTTCCCACCCTCTCCTGCCACGGTGAAATTCACCGCAGCCCTCCTATCTCCCTTATTTCTCCTTTTTCACAATTCGACTGATGCTTCATAACTACACGTGCATGGAAGGAACGAATGGAAAACTGTTGGCAAGGAAACCCCCCCCCCTACATCTTCATAAAGTCACAAGGGAGAACCTACCGTCTGATATCTGGAATTCCCACTGGTGATGGTTATGATCATACCGCTGGTGAAATTGTATGTCTCACTGTAGACAGGTTAATTTTATGAAAGAGTGAGGATGTGTACGGGCATGTACCTTCACCATGTATAGTAAACGACTTTTCACCCTCTCTCATATTCTCCCTGTATTCCTCTCCCTCCCCCCTCGCCATCCCTTCGCCCTATTGCACCTCATTCTCTCGGGCTTTCTCTCGCCGTTCCACTGACGACGAATGCCCAATTTTACCCGGCAATGTGTGTTACTCCACAAGCCGTGTACATAGCGCCACGAGTCTGCTCTACATCACCCAACAGGACATTGCCGCTTGGTGCACGCCCAAGGTGCAGCCCACCCCCTTCAACAACCCTCAACCCGCCACAGTTTATTTTAATATTTCAACAGCCCAACATCTACCGGAGTCTGGGGGGGGACTCTCAGTCTTGCTCTTCTGTTTCCACGTTTTCTTGGATAACTTTGGAATGGTGAAACTCTCGCATGTCTGACTTGTACGGAGTTGATACTCCGCATGCTTCTGCGGGGGCTTGATGCTTGACATCGTATTTCTCATTTTGTTGGGAATCTTGGGGGATTGGGGGGAGAGGCCTCCTTTGGGGTTTGGAAATTATGAGTAATTCATCGGGGGAAATAATGAGAGGGGTGAGGGGTGGATGAATTAATCGCGGCTTCGGGTTTATGCGTGTATTTGGTGAGGACCGTACCAAAATAGTTTTAAAATTTGACTGATTTTAAGATAATTCATGTATCTTTTACGGTTTGGTATAGACCACAGCATTTTCATTCATCAAATTTGTCAATTAGTTGCTTGAGGAAATATTTGGGAAAAATCGTGAATATTCAGCGTCATTCAAATTACTTTTTTGAATTCAATTTCCGGTATACTTTGTGGAATTTTTTATGGCATTGTAGTTCCACTGGAATTTCAAGACATTTAGTTATTGAAAATGCAAAATTTTATGGAAAAAAACTATGGAAACTGCATTTCCGGTCAGTCATTCCATGAAAATTAATAGAAATTAGGAAAATTTAGGTGAATAAATTGAAAAATTTTCAATGAAATGAAATTTCTGAAATGATTGATACTTAATATTCATGTGTTCATTGAAAATTCAAGATAGCTAAGGAATTCTTGTCTTATTGCTGCTCACAACTTTAGAACTTCAGACTTTCCGCATAAAAGCTGTGGTAGAAATTTCGCGCAAAATTTCTTTCATCGTAGTTTCTCTGAAATTTCAAGGTATTTAGTTATTGATAGTTCAAAATTCTATGGAAAAATCAATGAAACTGTAAATTTTACAAGTATTCCATAAGAAGTGATAGAAACTAAGAATTTAGAAATTAAGAAAACTTATAAATTTTTGAATTATCAATTATTCACGTTTTATTCATGTTTGTATTGAAAACCCAAATAAATTGAGAAATTCCATTCAGCAATTAATGAATATTTATTCACCGTAAAACAACAAATTGTCTTAAAGAACTAATTCAACTGCAAATCAAAACCATCAAATCCGACGGTTTGCCTCCCCCCACCTAACGATTACCCCATAATTGGCCACCCAACCAATTGCATCTCCGAATGAAGTAATTCAGCGAAAATCTGACCATCAATTACCCCGGCATTCCGCGCATCCCCTCCGCCCCACAAAAACTCATTCCAAGTAATGAAATAATGACTGAGATATTCCAATTACATTAATTAAATATAAACTTTTTCCTCGTCAGAGGGGATCAGTCGACATACCAGCGAGTCCTTCGTTCCGGCAACGCCCGTCCTCAACTCCCTGTCCACAGTGTCTCTTATACTCGTCATCCAAGTTTTTACTGTTCTGTCCTTGTGTGTCCCTCGCCCAGACCACAAGATTCCCCAGAATATTTTTTACCTCCCGACTGGGGAGCCATCGGAACAGTTCGTTCTTATACACATCCAGACCAGCTAAGCATCTAATTGCCTCCGGGCGTAATTTCTAGCAACGTGGTCCTGGGGTCCAGACTGGGGACTCTCATCACACCTGCGCAAGTTAAAGTTCAGAAACATTTTCAAGCCTCTCCCCCCCTCTCTCCCTATCCTACACTACACCATAACATACTATGAATAACTTAATCTTAATTACATTAATTAAATTTCAGGGATAAACTGGGCGGAATTCATCACCTGAAGTTGGCACAATTATTAAACTAATCAGTCTACGGTTTGTGCCAGTAATATTGCGAGGCCTTTGAACTGTCTGCTATGTGAGATTCCACTGAGAGGTGGGGGTTTGGGGGGTAAGTTTCCACTAATCCCAAGAATCCGGAGTTGAGAAACACGGAAGAATAGTCGGGGAGTCAAAGTTCTTCCAATATCCAACGTCTCAGCAGTTCACAGTATCGCGTACCGAAAAAGATTCGACACATACGAGGCAAGAGATAAGACACGCGCCAACCTTCCCTGAAGTATCCAGGCCACTTTTCCCTCCCAAGTTTAGTTGCTCTGGGGTTAAGAAACAACAGAGTCGTGCTAGTGTTATAGTTTTGTACTGAATTTCGAGATTTATGTTATTTCTTTGGAAAGTTTTTTTCGGCTTTTGCGAGGGAAGCCACGGAGTGGATTTATTTTTGAAATAGTTGGGGGGATTATCAATCAATAATGGGGTGGAGCTGTTTTCTTTGGAATCGTTCCGTGGAGATGCTTTAGTCTCAGAATGTGCACTCGGAGAAAATTATTTGATGAATTTCACCAACTACTTATTGAAAAAATGAATTACCAACTAATTAATTGAAATTCATAAGAGATTTTCCAATTTCATGCAATCCATTTTGCCAGCAAACTAAATGGTGAGGGCATGTATACATTTGGAAACAATCCTGCTATTATTTATATCTTGACAATCCATCAATGTCTCCCCTAGAAGATATTTTCGCAATAATCTACTATTCCTTGTTAAATTTGGTG